GCGCAACCCACAGCGTGTTGACACGGGCTCTCGACACATAGACTGAAAACGTAGAGCTGGTACGATATGTACGTTTGCCAAAACGTGGGCCAACACGGCCAACACGTTGAACCAACACGCAACGTGCTAACACGGACGCTTTGAACACAGTACGCGTTGCGTGTCAACACGGGCGGATCGGTGCAGCCAAGGTCGGTCCTGGATCCTGAGGCCTTCCCCCAAGACGAGATCTTCATCCCGAATCGTTCTCGGCCAGTCCCGGGGCCCGTGGAGGGCCCGAAGCCGAAAACGGCGAAAGACTTCAGGACCCGTTTACCCTCAGGACACGCTCCCCAGAAGGCGACAACAAAACGACCCCGGGCAAAACGCCGACGGTCCCTGGGAGGAGGAGGAGGAGGAGGAGGAGGAGGAGGAGGAGGAGGAGGAGGAGGGAAGCCGCCACTATGGATCGGGGGCGGGGGGCTGTTTGGCCTCTCACACGCGCGGGCGATTTCGGGCGGTGAGCCAGTGGCATGGCACAGAGTGCGGCACCTACTGACAATGCACTGGCATCGGCAGCCCCTCGTGGTCTCAAGCTGTTGCAGTATAACCCCCAGTCCGCCAATAAGGAGCGTAGTTCGGACATGACTTTCGAGTTGGACAATTTCGATACCGCTTGACTTATCGGTACCCAAAGGAGGCCCTCGGGAGGGCCAATTGAGGTACCTCAGAGAGTGGACAAGCAGTGGAGTTTTGATGGTTGAGAAGTTCCTTTGTCAACAAGAGCTTTGGTTTGACGATGTGGTTGACACGGCGGACTGTCATGCCATCGCATTTGAAGGGAATATGTCGGATACCGAAGAATCAATGGAACAGGTGTGCAGGTATTAAACTTGAACGTGGTGCCTTGAGAGTTGCAGGTATTGCGATGTACTTCCCTCCTGCACCAAGTCGAAGTGAACAGCGAAGGCAGTGGGAGGCAACAGTGTCTGCAATGTTGAGATGGCTGGAAGGAGTAGTATCACATCCATTCGTTGTCGTCGTCGTCGTCGTCGTGGTCGTCGTCCGTCGTCGTCCGTCGTCGTCGTCGCCTGCGGCGCTGCCCGTGGGGACTCGAACGCACACGGCGGCGGACCGCGGGTGCGCCTCCCGTCCAGGGCGCGCCCAAACCGTGACCACCACGAGCGAGCAAGAGGACACGCGGCTCAAGAGCCACACCACGCTCGCAGGGTACACGAGGGGCCCCCATGCATCGCGGCCGATCCTCGTTGAGGGAGGCGGCCGCCGCGCAGACCCCGCAGAGCACCGCGTCGACGCCGTCCGGCTCCCCGGAGGGCACCGCGGCGCCGCCCGGCGCCGCGAGGTGCCCGCGCAGGTCCGCGGCCACAGCGCCGAGGTGCTCCAGCCGCCTCGGCGCGGCGAGCGTGGGCCATGCCGACAGCGACGACGACGACCACGACGACGACCACGACGACGACCACGACGACGATCACTACGACAACCACGACGAGCACCACGACGACGACGGCGACCACGACGACGATGACGACGACGATCACGACGACGACAACGACGACGACGGCGACGGCGACGGCGACGGCACGGCGCGGCGGCGGCGGCGGCGGCGACAGCGGCGACGGCGACGACGGCGACGGCGGTCGGGGTGGCGGCGGCGACAGCCGCGGCGGCGAGCTCCCAGGGCCGAGAGAACTCAGCGGTCGAGGTTGGACAGGGGTTGCGCAAACTTCCCTGCTGACCACAATTTTGGCCAAAGGCTACGCAGGTGGCCTGGGGTTGATAAAGAAACCATCATCACAATCACCATTATCATCATCGTCATCATCGTCACCATCACCATCAACAGCATCATCAGCATCATCATAAGCAGCATCAGCATCAGCATAATCATCACCATCATCATCAGCATCATCAAAATCATCAGCATCATCATCAGCATCATCGTCATCATCATCATAATCGTCGTCGCCGTTAATATCAGCATCCTCATAATCAGAATCAGTATCATTACTATCATCATCATCACCAACAACAGCAGCATCAGTATCAGCATCACCATCAGAAGCATCATCATCCACATCAGCATCAGCATCATCATCCACATCAGCATGGTCGTCATCATCATCATCAGCATCATTATCCTCATCATCATCAACGTCATCGTCGTCATCATCGTTATCACCATCGCCACCGTCATCATCAACAGCAACATCATCACCGTCGTCGTCATCATCAACAGCATCATCAACAGATTATCGTCCTCATCATCAGCATCAACATCATCATCAACATAGTCATATGTTGCATCATCAGCAGAATCACCGCCATCGAACTCATCAGCACCATCATCATTCGTCATCATCAACGTATTCAGCAGCAGCATCATCATCAGCATCATCATCAGTCTCGTCATCATCATCACCAACACCATCATCACCATCATCATCACCATCATCATCGGCCCGAGGTTCGGGGGCGTCGGGTTCCCCTCCTTTGAGCCTCCGTGGGGGCCTGGCATCGCCGCGGCCGACTTTCCCGCCTGAACTGCAATCAGCAGGCATCCCAGAAGAGGTCTGGGGTGCTGCGACGGCGGCGGCGGCGGCGGCAGAGGGGCGACAACGACGACGACGACGACGACGTCAGCGACGACAACGACAACAACGACGGCGACCACGACGACGACGACGACGACGACGACGACGACGGCGGCGGCGGCGGAGCGGCGTCGGCGGCGGCCAGGAATCGGACATTTGCGAAAGCCCACCTCCTTCCGCCCTCCACTCCTCCTCTGACTGCTTTTCTCCTTCCTGGGGGTGGTGGCAGGGGGCGGAACTGAGTGGGCTTGGAGGTGGCGGCGATGTGCCCCAGCCTCATGACAATGAGGGCCATGTCCACCACCGCGGCCTCTGGAGGGGTCAGGAAGCCGATCCCGGGCCTTCCCAGGCATCACACGTCATGCTTGTTTCGCAACCTGGCTCCCCAGAAATCACCCCTGATGCCCCGCAAGAACCCCCAACGAAAACGCCGAAAACCCATCTGGATACTGTGATCGGCGCGCAGGGGGCCAAGGGGAGAAGGGGGTTATCAGTGGATGCCAATTCGTGCTTTGTCTGGCATAACCTACTTTATAAGTGGATTACAAGAGCCTCTAGTGCTTGGGGGGTTGACGATCTTGTCTAAGTGGGCCTCGTCTGCTTAGCGGGGATCTCCAGACACCCTCAGCCACTAGGGACACGTGCAGCCCACGTAGGAGCTAGGTTGGGCCCGGTAGACCCCACCTCGGCATCCACTCAGAAGCCCCTCTGCACCCTTAGTTAGCCCCCCCCGCGCCGATCCCAGCATTCGAGGGGCAAAAAAATGCATTAGCATAAACTGTCGGAGCGCCGCCCGGATTTCTTGGATCGATGCTGGACCCCCCTCGCGCAGCGCGCCACGGACGACGCCAGAGGCGCCGCAAGGGGGGCCCAGCGCCGATCTAAGAAATCCCCACGGAGCTCCAAAAGTTAATGTTTATGCCGCTGGCTGTCCCTCGCAGTATGTAGAGGCCTCCTAGATGGGGTCGGAGTAAATGGGGTCGGAGTGGATGGGGTCGGAGGGTCGCGCCGCATCGCCGACACATCGGCGCTGCATCGGCGATGCATCAGCGATTCATCCGCGATGCGCCGGCGATGCACCGTCGGCGTCGGCGCGAAGCAAATCGGGCTGCGCATCGAACCGCAGCGGCGATGCATCGGCGATGCATCGGCGATGCGGCGCGATCCTCCGACCCCATCTGCTCCGACCCCACCTGGGAGGCCTAGAATGATGTCCCTCGCAGTATGTCAGCTTGGGGGCGCCTGCAGCGCCTCGGGGCCACGGGGGACACGTCAGAGGAGGACCTCGGGTGCCCTGCGAAGAGCTGGGGGTCTCGACGGACCCAGCGCGCTCTAGAGAAGAGGCCTTTTTTGGTTGTTGGGGACCGGAGGAGGAGGAGAGGAGGAGGAGGAGGGGAAGGAGGAGGAGGAGGAGGAGAAGGAGAGCAGACCGAGAGGAGAGATTGTTCCCCTGTAACTTGCCAACATCTCCACAATACTCCAAACTCTTCGTATACACAGCGTTGTAAGGTACAGGACACACAACTCACATTCTTTTGGCTACGGACTTCAGGGCATGCCCACTTTCAGGGCACCCCTGGTCCTGGCCGTCTCCGGCTCATCTGCCCACCCCGGCGTGCGAGCAATGCCAACGATACCTTCCAACTGTGTGCAGCGCCTGCTTGCACCGCAGGCTGAGTCAGCGACGTAACAGGGACTGCCTGCGGAGAAGGAGGGAAACAGCTCTTTTCCTGCCAGCGTGTCGCCAAGAAGGTGGTAACAGAGTGGTGTTCAAAACACACACGGGCGAATCCCACAGAGGGGGGAACGGGGCGCCCTGGACCGCCCGGTCGAGCTCGCCCCGCCAGGCAGCCGTCGCGCCCGAGGCTTCCTCGCAGCTGCCTCGGGAACCGAGCTCTCGCCGCAGTGCCGACAGCACTTCTGGCCCAGGGGGCCGCGATCCACCGGTGAGCGTTTGTTTTTGAATACGGCGTTCCGACATTTGGCGGAAGGGGGGGGGGAGGGGGGGGGTCTGGCTCCGGACCTCTGGTTAACGCGACTGTTTGCCACCGTGCGCCCATCATGGGGGAGGCTCCACCCGCTCGAAACAGGCGCAAAAAACAGCCAAGATCTACTCCATAGGGAAAGGGGAGGGGGGGTGCGAGGGCCCGCGCCGATCGGCAAAGCAATGAATAAAAAACGACTACTTGTTGAACAACTGGGGTGCACATGGCCCTGCTCTCCCCGCCTGTCCCGGTTGCAGGGCCTCAGAGAACAAGACGCGGGCACGCGGGCACGCCACAGCGCGCCACCGTATGCCCCGGTGGCACTTGGCACAGAGCAAACAGGCCCCGAGGGAAACGGGACCTGGACGTAGGATGCGACAACGGCGCACCTGCACCGCGCAAGGTCTGGACTCCCGTCAGGCCACGTCCCAACGCAGTGCGGTGCAGAGCTCGTCGACTCTGAGGACCGAACAGTTGTGTGCCGTGCCGTTCCCAGGTCGAGGGTCGACGACGCCCCAAGAGACGCCGGGGCGGTACGGCGCACACAAGCTGTCCGCGACCTAGAGAGAGCAAGTGCGGCGTGTCCGTGCACAGGTCTTTGATCTGCGCTCGAGGCCCCCTCCCCTGCGCGCGGAGCGCGCCATAGCACGGATCCGGGAGATCCCCGCGAGGCTCCGCAAGCTTGTGTTTATGCTGTGGTTTCGTCTTCGAGGCCCCCGGAGGAGGAGGAGGAGGAGGAGGAGGAGGAGGAGGAGGAGCAGGAGGAGGAGGAGGAGGGAGGAGGGGAGGAGGAGGGAGGGAGAGGAGGAGGAGGAGGAGGAGGAGGAGGGAAGGAGGAGAGGAGGAGGAGAGGAGGGAGGAGGAGGAGGAGGAGACGGAGGGAGGGAGGAGAGGGGGAGGGAGGGGAGGGAGGGAGGGAGGAGGAGGAAGGTCTTTCCTCCAGGGGCAACGTTTCATCCTGAGCCGTGTTGATAATAGGGGGAAACGATTACAAAAAAAACTTTCTGGGGCGGACGATGAAAAAAATTGTTTCGCGGGCCTCCTCGCCCCCGCAATAGCGGGGGGGCAGGGCATGCAGACGGGGGGCTGACAATTCCAGGTTGCCTGGAAAGGCCAGGGGGGGGGGGGGGGGCACGGGGTGGCGATTCAGAGCGCGGGCCAGGGGGGGGGACGGGGTGATTTTCAGGGCCGAGCTCGTCCTCCTCCTCCGCCCTCTCCTCGTCCTCCTCCCTCCTCCTTCCTCTCCCCTCTCCTCTCCTCCCCCTCCCTCCTCCGTCCTCCTCCTCCTCCTCTCCTCCTCCTCCTCCTCTCCTCCTCCTCCTCACTCCTCCCCTCCTCCTCCTCCTCCTCCTCCTCCTCCTTTTTCTCCGCTTCCTCCTCCTCGTCCTCCTCATGTTCGTCCTCCTCTCCCGCCCCCCCCCCGTCCGCAAGGACGAGGGTGGCCCTCTCGCTGTCCCGCCTCCCAAAGGGGCAAAATCAAACGCCGTGGGGCGGACGATTAAGAAAGAACAGCTTCCGGCGGCCGGATTCTATTAGTCCGCCCCGCTCAATCATGTTGGGGGGTCCGGGAGGGGAGGCGGAGGGGCGTATTTTTTCAATCGTTTCCCCCCATGAACAGGCCTGGGGGGCCCGCTGAGGGCCCGGGGAGCCCGAGAGCGGCGCAGAGCCCCCCAGGGCCCGCTCCGCTCCGGACGCCGGTGTCGAGCTCCGTCGTCGTCCCTCGTGGTCACCAGCAATTTCTGGATGTTCCTCGCGAATCGGCGGCGGCCCGCATGAACCATGACTGGCTCGAGAAACCTTCGAATTCTGGATCTGACTCGGCGAAGGCCGCATGGACTCACAACTCAGGTTCTTCGAATCCAGGTTCTTCGATCGGCATTCGATCTCTGGATCGGCGACGGCCCACATGGACCATGACTAAGATCAGCGTCGAAAAGATCCCGCGACGTCTTGGTCATGCTCAATGTGCTTCTTCTCTCTCGAACCCAGAACATCCCGACGTCGTGCTTTTGTTTATAGCGTCTCACCACAAAGGTCTGGCCCTCTTCCCACCCTGAGATCCGCCGTCACATAAAAAATAGACATCGCCAGAAATCACGGCCAGAATCCTAGACCCAATCTTTCTGCGGCATGTTTCCACAAGATCCGCGACGCATTGGTCATGGTCCATTCGGGGGCACACTGACCTGGGTCAATGCAAACCCGGGCCAGTCAGGCCTCGCAAAATCCTGCAATGTCCTGCAGGATCCTGCAGGAATCCTGCATCCAACCCGGCTCCGTGCGACCCTGGCCCTGCAGGATCCTGCAGGGTCCGGCGCTCTGACTGACCCCCGCCTGCACCGATCCCCGTCCCCTGGGCCCCGGTCTATGCCCCCGCCCACGGCTCCAGGGGCCCGCCGAGGGCCCCGGGAGCCCGAGTACGGAGCCGGGGACCTCCAGGGCGCGCCTCCCTCGGGACCCGCCCAGCGCGAGAGCGATGCCATGATGCGGTGGCGGCCCTGTGCCCCAGGGGCGGGGGAGGGCGGGGAGGCGAGGGAGGCAGAGGGGAGGAGGAGAACTGCGACCGCACGGGTGTCTGGCGGGCTCGAACCTTGCCGCCCATCTGCCCTCAGTTCATTCTCCCGCGGAGTCTGGACATCGAGAGTTTGTCTGGCCGGGCCGTCCGCGAAGCGGGACGTATCTTGAATTCGTCCATGCAGCCACGCAAGCTTCGTTCACAACGGCCGGTGTGGAACACTGGGAGGTCTTGGAAATCCTGGTAATCTGGGAACGCATAATTGTCATGACCTCTTGCTTCTCTGACTGAGTCGATACGACGGCGGCTCAACATCGTTCCCTGGACCCCTCCCGGGGTCGAAACGCACCAGTTTCCCACGCTTCGTCCAGCCGCGCACGGCGACGAAGGACCCCCCCTGAAGATCAACTACCGTTGTCTCAACTCGACCTTCCCTTGAAAAAACGGCGCATACGGTTGGGAACTTCTGCTTAGCGTTTCGCCGCGGAGGCTCCGGCGACACGCTATCTCTGGAGAGCGAATAAAATGTCGCTTCGCTCCGCGGGGCGGGAGGCCTCGTTTGCTTGCTTCAGGGCTCGCTTGCTTCATGTCGGGCAACGCGTGCACGCCCGCAGGAGAGGCACGCTGCATCGCTCGTCGTCATCGTCGTTGTCGTCGTCGTCGTCGTTAGCGGCGGCAGCGTCGTCGGCGGCGTCGTCGGCCACATCGTCGGCCTCGTCGTCGTTGTCGTCGTGGTCGGCGGTGGCGTCGTCGTCGGCGTCGCTGTCGGCGTTGTCGTTGGCCTCGTCGTCGTCGTAGTCGTCGTCGTCGTCGACAGCGTCGGCGTCGTCGGCGTCGTCGTCATGGTCAACCTCGTCGGCAACGTCGGCCTCGTCGCCGGCCTCGTCGCCGCCAGCGTCGTCGTCGTCGGCATCGTCGTCGCCCTCGTGGTCGTCGTCGTCGTTGGCCTCGTCATCGGCCTCGTCGTCGTCGTCGGCCACGTCGTCGGCCTCGTCGTCGTCGCCGTGGTTATCGTCATCGCCGTAGCGTTCGTCAGCAAAGTCGTCGTCGTCGTCCGCGTCGTTGTTGTTGCCCTCGTCGTCGCCCTCGTCGTCGTCGTCGTCGGCGGCGTCGTGGTCGTCGGCGTCAGCGTCGTCGTCGTCGGCCTCGTCTTCGGCGGCGTCGTCGTCGGCGTCGTCGGCGTGCTCGTCGTCGTCGTCAGCGTCGTCAGCGGCGGCGGCATCGTCGTCGGCGTCGTCGTCGGCCTCGTCGTCAGCGTCGTCGTCGTCAGGGTCGTCGTCGTCGTCGTTCTCGTCATCGTCGTGGTCGTCAACGTAGTCGTCGTCGGTCGTCGTCGCGTCGACATCGTCGGCCTCGTTGTCGTCGTCGGCCTCGTTGTCGGCCTCGTCGTCGGCCTCGTCGTCCTCCTCCTCGTCGGCGTCGTCGTCGGCGACGTCAGCCTCGCCGCCGTTGGCGGCGGCATCGTCGTTGTCGTCGACGTCGTCGTTGTCATCGGCCTCGTCATCAGCGTCGTCGTCGGCGTCGGCGCCTCGTCTCTGCAGCTGGGCGGCGTGTCGGCGCAGGCGCTGCTGTCGAGCGCGCCGGCGCCGTCGTCCAGCGCCTCGAAGAGGGCCAGCAGGCCCTCCGCGGGCCCTGTCGCCTGCCACGGCGACACCTCCACCAGCGCCGCCTCCAGAGGAACAGAAAAAACACCTTGGTTCCTTTTCGGTTCCTTGTCCTTCCTTCGCAAGTTCCTTGGGGCTGACAACGACGACGACGTCGACGTTGACGACGACGACGACGACGAGAACGGAAAAGCGTTTCACACGCGCCGAAGGGTCCACGGTTTCGCGCAGATTGCTTGGCTCGGCGCGAACTTCTTGGTGCGGCGCGGGTCGGCAAGGAGAGAAGCGCCCGAACGTCGGGGCCCCGGGCGGATTTCTTGATTCGGCGCTGGGCCCCTCAGGCGGCGCCTCAGGCGGCGCCTCTGGCACCGCCCCATGGCGCGCTCTGCGCGCCAGGGAGGGGGGCCCAGCACCGATTCAAGACATCCGCGCGGAGCTGCAACAATGTGAGATTACGAAATCTTCTTACTGTAGTCGGGGATCTTCTGACCCGTGTCAATCCAGACCTGGGTCAGTCAGGCCTTGCAGAATCTTGCAAAATCATGCAAGATCCTGCACCCAAACCCGGGTCACGCGAAGGATCCTGCCAAATCCTGCACCCATACCCGGCTCGATGCGACCCTGGCCCTGCAGGATCCTGCAACATCCAGCGCTCTAGCTGACCCACGTTTGCATTAACTCGCGTGTCAAGGCTCCCGATCGAGCCTCATCGCACAGCTGCCGGTGTATGGCCTGCGCGGCGTCGATCACCCGCCACAGTGCCGAGTCCCGGATCTGCCTCAGCCGCCGCACCATCTCCGACACGACGTTGGCGACCAGGGACACCGAGTCCTCGCTCCTCCTCCTGTTCCTCCTCCTCTTCCTCATCATCATCAGTCTCGCAAACACCATCATCGTATTCAACAGCAGCATCATCATGGTGGTCACCATCATCATCAGCAGCATCATCATCAGCATCATCATCATCATCGTCAACATCATCATAATCATCATCACCATTATGAACATCAACATTAATATCATCAACAACGACGACATCGTCACCGTCGTCACTATCACATCCTGATCATCAACATCATGGGCATCATCATGTCCATTATCATTATTACTACCGCCACCATCCTCAACATCATGTGGTCATCGTCATCGGTATCATAGCCGTCATCATCCGCACCGTCGTACGCGCCATCATGACCATCATCTATATAACCAGTATCACCATCATCGTCGCCATCGTCACCACCGTCAAGGCATCATCACCATCATCATCGTCACCATTACCACCACCACCATCATCATCATCAGAAGCATCAACATCAGCATCACTATTATCTTTTTCGTCGGAGCCGTCAGCATCGTAATCATCATCATCATCATCGTCGTCGGTGTTATCGTTATCGCCGTCATCACCACCAACATCAGCATCAACAGCGTCATCAACAGCATTGTCATTACTACATCATCATCAGCATCGTCGAAACCTTTACAAGCACCCTCAGCATCATCATCAACATAGTCATCATCATGAAAAACATCATCACCCGCATGGTCACACTCACCATATTCGGCATCACCATCACCATCATAATGGTCATCGCCATCGTCACCATCACCAGATCACGGTCATCATGTTCATCGTCACCAGTACAAGCATCATCATCAACATCAGAATCATGATCATGATCATCTCCATCAACATCCCCAACATCATCATAGTCGGCGCCGTCAGCATCATCATCAACGTCGTCGTTGTTGTTGTCATCGGAATCACCGTCATCACCACCACCACCATCGTTATCATCGACAGCGTCAACAACAGCACCGTCAGCATCCACATCCTCATCAGCATCGCCACGACCGTCATCATTGTCACCATCAGCATCGGCATCACCAGCATCATCAGTATTAGCATCAGCATCATCATTACCATCCTCATCGGTACCATTAGCATGGCAATCGCCATCGTTACCACCACTTCCCCCATCGTCGTACGCACGATCAGCATGATCACAATCGCCATCATCAGCTTAGCGGGCATCGCCACCATCATCAGGTCACCATCATCCTCATCGTTGGCATTACAATCATCAGCATTACCATAAATACCATCATCGTCAGCGCTGTAAGTATCGGCATCAGCGTCACCATCATCAGTGTCGGCGCCGCACCTGATCACCATCAGCCCATTTCTCAGCATGGTCATCGTCATCGGTATCAGCAGTACCCACACCGTCGCACGCACCATCATCATCACTACCACTATCTTCATCGTGGCCGTCATCGTCATGATCATGGTCACCATCATCATGATCATCATCGTCAGTACCTGCATCATCATCATCATCATCATCAGACTTATCATCTTCATCAATATGTATCGTCAACATCGTCTAATCAACATCGTCATTACGACCCTTATCAGTTACCGTCATCATCATCACCAGCAGCAGCATCATCATCATCATCATGAGTATCATCAGCAGCATCGTCTTCACCAGTGTCAGCATCATTATCAGGTTATCATCATCGTCATCATCGTCATCATCATCACCATTATGGTCATCGTCATTGTCACCGTCATCGTCATCACCAACGTCGTCGACGGCGCCGCCAGCATCGACACCATCATAATCGTCGCCATCGTCGTGTGAGCCGCGTTCACCGCAACACCACGTCGCATATGTACACCGCAGTGCCTGTGCAAACTGCAGCAGCCGTGTGCGCAATCGCGCCTGCGTACACATCGTTGCCTGCGTACACCAGAGCGCTTGTGTACACCACAGCGCCTGTGCACACAACAGCAACCATGTGTACCGCAGCGCCTACGCACGCCACAATGCCTCCGTGCCCCACAACGCCTGTGTACACCAGAACGCGGAACGTACCATTCAGCACATCAGTAGCTTGCGAGGCCTCCTTGCGGGGCTCGCCACAGATCACGGAGGCCTTCAGGACTCGTCAGTCATGTCCTCCTCCTCCTCCACCTCATCTTCCTCCTCCTGCACCTCCTCATCCTGCATGTCCTCTTTCTCTCCTTTTTCAACGATCCTGGCGGCCTTCGCTGAGGGAGGGAAATGCGGAGCGGGGGAAGGAGCAGCAGAAGGAGCAAGAGCAGCACAAATAGGAGGAACAGCAGGAGCCCCACGTTGGGGTCGAAACATCCAGCGCCGTGCTCTTCCCAAAACAATGCATTCAGGCGCTCGTGCTCCCCGCGCAATGCTGGCACTGGTGCCGAAATTTGTAGCAGCGCACAGGTTGAATCGCGTGCCCGCCCAGCCGAAAGCCGCTCGACATCGGTCCCCCGACCCGACATCCGAGCAGGGCACCTTGGCACTGAGTCCGCCTGACCTATGCGCACCGCAATAGCCTGCAAGCGCCACAACGCGCACAACACGCATGTGAGCACCGAAGCTTTCGGCACCACGCATGCATGTGAGCTCGGCGCCAGCGCAGGCGGGGAGCCTGCGAGCGCCACAACAAGTTAGCGAGCACCACAGCATGCCTTTCACTGCGGCAATTTCGACCCCAGGAGACCGCGATCCCTTGTAAATCGCGCCAGGTTCGCGCCACCGACGACAACGGCGCCAGACGATGGGAAAATGCAGGGCGACGCATGCGTGACGATTACCAGCCGTCTTCGAATGAGGTTCCTATATGGTTTCAAGACGGCGCCCAGGCATCCCAACATAGCTCTGGCACGTCCCAGTCTGATAGAGGGGGCCTGCGGCAGAGAGCGAAACCCTTACGGATAGAGGGAAACTGGCTTTCAAAATTGAGCCCTCGTGTTATCGCCACACACGCACACGCGTCTTAAAAGCTTGCCACATCTACAACAATGAAGTGCGGCTGGTGTTCAACATGAAACTCTCGCATGTGCGTCGCGCACAATCGTCTTAAACTCTGGCAGCGGCTCTAAGGATTGAGGGCGACTCGTTTCCGATATTGGTATCTCGCATCTGTGCCACGCACAATCCTCGTGCTCAACATAGGACCACCGCCTTCGTGCCAAAATGTTCGGCCTTGCAGCCTGCCGTCGCTACAAGAGCAGCTGGCGGCCGGTGTGTGTTCACCATGGGGCTCTCGCCCAAGAGAGCCCAGCCGAATCGATGAGTCCGATCGGCGATCAACGAGTCGGATCGGCAGAGATCGGCAGCCAGGTCGGGAGAAGCCAGCTCGGAAGAGATCGGCAAGCCACTAGGCCTCCACTGAGACAGGCATCGGCGCCCGCACCGGCATCCGAAGCCGCATCGAAGCGGAACTGGCATGCAGCGAGATCGCCTCGAAGCGCTGCGGAGGCACCGAGACGAGCCCCTCCTGCCGCGCCCGCCTGCCGCGCAGACGCCCGGCCCCGGAGCCGACGGCTGCGCGGCGAGCGGCGGCGGCGCCGCTCTCCGCGCGGGGGCCCTCGCCCGCGGCGAGGCAGGCCCGCGGGGCGCGCGCGGCTGCCCAGGGCGGCGCTCCGCTCTCGGGGGCGCGCACGGGCGGGGAGGAGCGGTGCGCGGACCCGGCGCGCGGCCGCCGACCCAGATCATACGCTACCCAAAAAAATGGGTAACGGCAAAATCGAATCGGTAACGCTCGAAATCTTTAGCGTGCGCGCGAATATCGGTAACGGCGCAGCGCGCGCGTATGCCACCCGTTTTCGGTAGCGGCTACCCATTTTTGCTAGTTTTCGCTACCCATTTCGCGTTCGACGCTACCCATTTTTCAAACAAACGTTTGACAACGTTTTCGCCTTCCCAGCAAACGTTTGACACACGTTTGTCAAACGTTTGTCGAACGTTTGCTGGGACGTCATCCTCTGTCGTTGTCTGTCGTTGTCGTTGTGATTGTCCTCATCGTCCTCGTCGTCTTCCTCATCCTTCTCGTTGTCATTCTCGTCATCCTCCTCGATGTGCTTGTCCGTGTTCTCGGCCTTCTGCCCCTTCTCATTATTCCACTCCTCCCTTTCCACGAGGATAATGAAGAGGAGAAGGAAGAGGCAGACAGCGAGGACGGGAAGGGCGAGGGCGAGGACGAGTGCGACAAGAGAAAGCAAGAGAGAGAGAGAGAGAAAGAGAGCAGGTGGAGGGAAACATTGAAGGCAACGGTGAAAGGGAGGAGTGGAATAGTGAGAAGCAGCAGAAGGCCGAGAACACGGACAAGCACACCGAGGAGGATGACGACAACGACAACGAGAAGGATGAGGACGACGATGAGGACGATGAGGACAACGACAACGACAACGACAGACAACGACAGAGGACGACGTCCCAGCAAACGTTTGACAAACGTTTGACAAACGTTTGACAAACGTTTGGCAAACGTTTGACAAACGTTTGACAAACGCTTGTCAACGGCGCGGTTCTGCGTCGTCGGTCGCACCAGCAGCTTTTGTGGCTGAGGTGGCGCCGAATTCAACGTCAGGGCTGCCAAAAACACATGGGCACCCTTCTCCTGCCCTCCCCGCATTCCCGCCCTCATTCTTCGCATCCCCCATTTCCTCCCTCCATCCTAACCCATGTTCTCCTGGCCCAGTTTGCCCCGCCATCCCAAACTCAAATGCACCATGTGATGTTGGCGGCCCTGCGTTTGCAATGTTGCCCCCACCCACGCGCCGACCCACAGCTGTGGTCGACGCGCAAATGTTATCCTCCGAGCTGCTCAGCCACGTGATCAACGTGGGCTGCAAGCACGCGTTTCTGCTGGGCAACTACAACTGGCTCAGCAAAGAGAGGGCCATCTCGGCCCCGTCCCTCCACCTGATGCACTCGCTGGTGGCTGCTAGTGAAAAGGAGGGCATGCCGACTTCTCGTCGACGGGGGGGGGGCGCGGATGAGGGCGATGGGATT